ACGGGAGAGCTTGCTGCTGGGCCGCGTTCGAGAGGAGCTGACGGCGGGCGCGGGCGGGGACGCACCGCCCGAGTATGGTCGAGACAGAGTCTTTCGGCTGGACCTAAAGGCGGTTCCGGCCTCGGAACCGGTGCCCCGAGGGGCGCCAAGCTTTAGGTCCAGCGATCTCGTCCTTGTTTTGACGGTAACGGGAGCCGCCGCGGGCCGCGACGGCGCCCGAGCCCGACCAGACGAGCTCGACCATTTCGAGCCCCGCGACCTAACCCTTGCACCGAGGCGATGCGTGGGTGACGATGAACGATCTCTGGTGCTGCGAGGGCTCAAATCTAGCTCGAAGGGGTCGGGGAAGCCGAACGCGCCCCATCCCAGCCCATAAAACCTCTCGTTCGCGTCGCCCCGCAATCGGCTCGATGTCGAGTTTTCGCCGTTGCCTCGTCCGTACGCGCGCGGTCAACAAAGCCACTGGGATCGTGGTACGTCGTTGCATTATGGCTGGGCTGTGGGTCTGAGAAGCTGATGGATTCTCCATCGCACGCTCGAAAACGTGCTCGACGTTTCGAGCGAGTGCAACCGGTAAACATGGGCTCAGACGTATCTGCGCGCGATAGCAGCGTGGGCTGTGGCGGAGCTCCGTGGAGCTTCACCAAGTGTTCAATTGCAGTGCTTCAGCAGCCTGGATTTGTTGTTGCTGTCCGTGCAAAAGCGCGTCGGACGTCGCGATCTCGTCGCACGCAGCCGCGATGGCGGTGCCGGCGCGCACCAAGGCCGCGGCGGCCCTGGCGCTGCTCGTCGTCGTCGTCCTCGTCGCGACGCGTCCGCGGGCGCCGGCCGCGCCGCAGTTCGAGTACAGCGCCCACGGCTTCCGCGTCAACGGCGGCCCGTCGCGCCCGCTGCTCGAGCCGAACGAGGCGGAGTACCAGATGAGCGAGGGCGGCCAGGACCGCGTGCTCTGGGAGGAGCTCTTCCGCAACGACTCGCAGGCGGACAGCGGCTTCTTCGTCGAGTTCGGCGCCCGGGGCGGCGTCTACGACAGCAACACGGGGGATCCTCAGAGTG